GAGGGATGTTTTGTTTAACTTGTACAGCGGACACCCAAACCGATGACACTCAGCGGCCCAACTCCACCATGGCAGACCAATCTGATGACGAGGACGGCAATATAACACGTATCCTCAAACACCGATCAACGCCAGAGGGCAGCTTGACATTCCTTTGCCTCCAGGTACAGTGGTACTCGCACTCTGAGCTTGAAGAGTATACCCCGGAGTTGGTGGATCAATATCTCTATCGTGGCAGGCCCCATGAGCGTTCTAGAGCACGCAAAAGGCAAGCAGCTTGTGAAACACCCTTGGCTTCGGACAGGCAAAAGAAGGTTAGGGAGATATAGGCCACGGCTCATTGTTTGTCATACTTGCTTTCGGATCTCCTTTCATTGTTATTACGCATTTCTCATATAACTTAAATCAAATCTTCATGCTTGGGTACTTGTGACGCGTCATTATTGGAACTAGGTGATCTTGTTGACTGAGACTGAGTCGTAGTGGTCATGTTAAGTATATTGCATGGAGATCAGCGCCTCCTGTCAGAGCGCACGAAGTCGCTTCCGCCAGGTCAATCGGGCCCTGGAAAAGAAACTAGTACCTCGGAAAAAGGAGTACCCGTCATCGGTGTAATGTTATTCCCTTACCGACAGCGCAATGAAAGCCAGCATAAATCTATTCCCTATCTACCAATGTCTTCTCTTCAATGTGATGGGTACCTGATTTATGGTTACACTTGACAGAGTCAAGGAAAAAAATGAAGTTATATAGTATACAAGAACTATATGCTATGTGTTTCTCCGCCCAAGCTTTTCTCGACCAAAAACCAAAAAAATATCAAGTAATATAGAGAGGCTGGCTATGTCTCAATTCAACGAGAGGAAAAGCTTCCTACATCGCGGTCATCCGGGCCCATCAGGAAAGTGTCACCCCAGACATGGAAATGCAATACAGTAAGCTGAGCTACTCGCCTGGCGACTTGATCTGTACAGCTGTATCGAAAAAAGCTGGTATTTGTTGGCATGCCAGTTCGCGCCTGGTATGTCTCGAATGGTGACAAGGTGATATAATACCCTATGTATCCCAACGTAGCCTCCTCCAGCTGCTGTCTTAAGGACTGTATAATATCCGCAAAAGGTACAAGATACCGTGGACAATCACTCTTCTGCTGAGTTGCCGATGAGGTAGAACTGTCAAGGGCTTCTTGCGTAACCTTCAGGGCATTCCCGCACGCATTCGATTTCGATTTGTCATCTTCCTGTTCGCTACATTCAAAGATGGCTAGGAAAAAATCCTCAGACGCTTGGTATGTTGTGAGCCTGTCGACGGTATTGCCAGTGTTTTCTAGCATTCGGCAACGAAGTTCAAGGTCGATTGAGAAATGGAACGCGATCCATAAATCCCGCAGGTAATGGCGGGTTATGTCGAGCGTTTCCGGTAGTTGGGCACGCGATTCTGCCCAGAGAAAGCTTAGATGTTCACGTGCCAAGTCGCTGACTGTCAACCTAGGATTATGGTGTCTATAGAGCACATTGCGGTACCATTCTCTAGAATTGTGTACCTCCACTGGCTCCAGCGCGCCGGAGAGAAAACATTGCAATACTTTTATACTTCCATTCATTAGCTCTCTCCGAGCATCCGAAAGATAAGCTTCGTCTCTGGCCTTCGCGGAATGAGCGTTAGTTTTATCAAAGTAGAAAAAGGCATACGTACGAAATAGATCTCCACTGATACTTCAAGGAATTCACGTAACTTATACGCAATTACCTCGCTACTCTGACTCTCGCCGTCCCGTAGATTATGAATAACTTCTGTGGAGTACCGCTCTCTATCACAGCGTGATAAGAATTGAAGAAGTGAAGCCAACGACCGCAGAAAGCTGGCAGGACAGAAGACTTCCTCCTGTATCTCGCAGCCTATGGCAGTAATATCTAGGACACTCGTGATACGAGCACGAGCTTCTTGAGGAAGTATAGATACCATTAGATACTGTAGGCTTTGTACCAAGAGATTGAGTCTTTTATGGATATATCTCTCACGAAGAGCTGTATCAATATCTTTGGCTAGTGCTTCCCAATATGGATCCATGTTGGTTGATATTCGACGGATAAATTTTTGGTAGACATGTAAATTGATCAACAAAAAAGCGTCTCCATAGGCGAGTGGCGGAGGCCAGTCGCATACCCGGTCAGACATCGTCGGCGAAACGATCTGCTCAACAGAAATATGATGTGAGCCTTGTCACGGTATAAATTATAGAGGACTTGGTCTTTCTAAAGAGGCCGAATAAATGTATACCAAAAGTAACGGCTTGTATATAGGAAGAAGTGTGGTACATGTCTGGATTAAATAGGTGGAAATCAATCATTGGCAGCCTTGCCATTTGTTTACCTGGCTAGGGAACATATATAAGTAATTTAATGTATTAAATGTAGCCTTACGTATATAAAAGGTGCATTTGTTATCCTAAAGGGGAATACATTACCACCTGACACCTCGTACATACGTCGTGCATATGCAATAACCCCATGTATTCCCACTGAACAACAAAGAGGAGATATATAATGCCTAAGTAAAAGCACACCCAATCAAATAATAAGAGAGATTTGTTTACTAAGAAAGGCTACTGGCTAGTGCTAGTATCTGTATATCTCTGTTTGTACTTGCTCTGTAACCAGCATGTGTAGGATTCGGTGATGTTGGCTAGTAATACATGATGCCCAGGGCTGAAAACAAGAAGCTAGTGTGATGGATAATGCCCAACTCAAGAAGGTAGACATCCATTGACAAAGTGTGGTGCTATTGACACACTCAATTGTCTTACTCTGACTCCATCTGGATGTGTGATAGGTCAGTTTCTTGTTGCTTCTCTATTCTGCATACCTCTCGCCTAAGACTCTCCTCGGCGTCCGATAGTCTGAGGTTGGCACGATTAATTGATTTCGACGTTATACAAAAATTCTTCCCTTGGCTGTTGACTCCCAGGATAACACAGCAAGGCGATCTAACCGTGTCTATACCGGAAATAGAAGAATGTAATACTCCAGTAGACTGTTTTTTAGGATTGGGTTCAGTTGCTAAGTCTGTCAGCATTTGATAACATTCCTGCCTCTTACTACTACTGCTCTAGAAAACGTACCGTGACGGTCCCTCCAGCATGATTCCTCTGACTCTCGAACAAAGAGTATCGAATCAAGGACCTTCTTGTCATCGTTATAAAAATACAAATGATTCATAGCACTTATTGCATGGCTAACCCTGAACCCTTGGAGGTGCAAATTGAATATTAAGTGAGTTATCAATGCAGCCAATTCTATTCATTGATATATTAGAAATTGAATGTTTATCGTGGAGGCATGTCTTACCAACTTTATCATGTGTATCACTGAAACATACAGTCTCAGGCCACCAACCTGGGATTATTTGATGCCTATAAGAGTATAAGGATGAGAAACGTGGTTCAATATACTTCAAAAGGCAGCCTGAAATCTGAGCCAAAGTGTTATACTGTAGCCTTTCAAGCATATTTCGAGACCACAAACGGGTTCGCTCCGCCTCTTGGATGGAGAAATACAGTTTCCTGATAGGATCCCAGGGGTCCACCAATGTCCAAAACCCTAGTTCTTTGTTCACGTAGCCTTTATCTTTATATGACACGTTCTCATTCGGTATGTTTGGGGGAAGGTAGATCGATGCAATCCTGACTGTTGTGGGTATGTCTATTATTCTGTTAACGTAGTCACGGCTAGTTATCGATCGTGGATCTGCTTACCATAACAACCGTCTGCTGCGCTCTTTTTATATTCTTCCAACATTAAAAGATCATCTATCAACTGCTTGAATCTCGATCCTTGTAATACTTTGATTCCGTTCGCACTCTGACGAAGAGCATTGATTGAGCCGGTGTTTTTGATTGTGTCTTGGAGAGTATTCATGATGTGCTTTTGACCAACTACTAGTAATCAGCACAAGCTTTTCGCAAATAATATCGGCTATTAAACCAGCCCACCGTCTCTTTTGTTAAGCGCAGTTCCACACCATACAGCAACAAGAGCTTCAAGTTCCGCACGAGGCAACTTGTAAAGGAGCCATTTTTGGGTGTTTAACAACTCGGCCGTATTCTCAGTAGAAATTACATAGCTGTGACCTGCGTAATAATTATTATTATAACTGAACCCTCACTTTGGACCTTTATTAATACTTACTATGAATTGGAGGCATAGTGCAATGGCCACTGGCTATTGGATTCTTACTTTTGCTATGACATGACATTTTGATACCAAAGAATATGAAATTGGAACAAAGAGAAGAATTGATAAGTTATGCTAAATATTTATGTACTTCTCCGTGCAAAAGCATACAAGGCTGCCATATGATCTGACTTCACTGTAAAAAGGTAAGAAAAGCAAAGGAAGACTCCTTTCCAGTTAACCGCAACCTTTCAGGTAAGCCCTAGACAGGGGTTTGGTATACTAAAATGTCCAGACAGATTATCGAGCTGACCTTCTTTCTCTATATTACTTCTCTCTTCCCCCAATCAAGATGTCATTACAGGAGCTCTATTAGTTTTGTGGGACTGTTTAGGTCTTTTTCATGTGTTTCAAAAGAGGTAACCTTTTGCTATAACTCATCAGCTAAGGTTTCTTTCTTGGGACGAGTCCTTCGTTCCTGCAACAGTGTTCTGGCGTTTTCTATTCTTCTAAGAGCTTAGTAACCAACCTCTTGACAACCTTCCGTGAGAACGTACAGGATTCATGCTACTCGTCATGCAGATGGTGAGGAATTGTAGTTGCTTCACGATCAGGAAAATATCTTCTCTTAAAAAAGGGCCGTGTAAGATGGAAAAAGATAAACAGTAAGAGCCAGAGCAAAAGAATTTTACAAGGAAGGCTATTCATGATTGTCATGATAAGTATGTTACAAGACAAGAACCCTTGTCTTATAAATTCATATCTACAAGGTATTCAATGCCAGTCAAATCCATACCGCCCAATATCAAACCATTCATCTTTGGTTAGGCGGAAACCCAAATCCCGCCTTAACCCATATTGCTCCTTCTTGTGAAAGAATGACACGGGGCAGCGCATAACAGCACTTTCCTCTCCGTATTTTACACTAAGCAACATAATAGACTCTCAACCAGGATATGTAAGAATGCCTGCATAGCCAAGTAGTTCAATTTGACTTCTGGTCGACCTATCCAGCATAGGGTAAGCACGCCATGCCAGTTTCTGTAACCTATCTTTAGATCAGCATGTCCAAGCCCAGGCGTTAAGATAGCAGCCACTTACTGTCTCTGGTAAATCCGGGCTCGGGAGGAAAAGTACACTATCCCTAGAGTGCTGCATCGTACTTCTGTCGGACGCACTATCAGTAGTCAAATTCTTGATCCCCTCCATCCCCTGACCAAAGCCACCGTCAGCTCTCTGATTAACGCCCACGATGATGTGGCTTTCAGAAATGATCTTCTCCTCGTTCCTATACTTGACAGTGGTGGTCTATCCGAAATACTATATTAGACACTTCCCAGTTACCATATAGTTTAAACTTACAACTCTTTCCTCATAGAGAGGTACTTCGCCGGAGAGAGAAGTTAGTTGATTGGAGTCTTCACATCCCAGCCAGCGAATTAAGGCACTCAACCAAGACATGATTAGACAGATGTACAATTTTGGAATTGGGCCCGTCTGTTGTATAGAAGTATATGCTATGAAGGATCAGGATTGCGTTGGCCTTATAAATATAATAATCCAATACTATGTAGGGAACTATACTAGCCTTGATAAACCATAACCCTATAAGCCAACGTGCATCACACCCATCCAGAAGTCATTATTCTACGGGATAAGAAGGGCTCTCAACATGCCTTGATTTGTTTACATGTCCTATCAAGTGGCTTCATTTTCTTTTGGCTGACTTCATTATTTTACAAATTATTGCTAGGTAACATCGGAATCTCGGCAGGGCAAGTCACTGTGAGCAATAAGGATAGTGAACGGGGAATAGTTAGACAGCTAAAAAGAAACCTCCTATCAGATACCCGACAGTTTACAGCTGCGGTGTGTGGCATAGGATGTGGATATTAAAGAATATGTACGTAGAATACCGATTCATCTAGCCATTTCAAGATGATCAGCAGATATCCCAAAACTGTCCATGTCTTGATTAGAGCGACTACCTATAGCAAGGTATCTATTCGTTCAGGAAGATGAATAGTCTTTGATCATCAATTCTTACCGCACTAAGGAGAACTAAGTTTAACTAGGTGCCACACATTATTAGAACATAACACATCTTCCAGAGCGACGAGCAACAATATCACCTGTGTCATGCATACCCTGGCAGCACGCGTTTATATCTCGAGAAACCTCATCCATTGAGCAGTAATCCCCATTCCAACAATGTAAAATAACGCCACCAAGTACAAGCATATCCACTCTCGGGTATTCCCCCATGGTAAAAAGATGCTCCACTCTTTTTATCAATTTTCCAGGTCCAAGAGTTTTTTCCAATTCTTGGTAAGGCTTCTCACCTGTCTCTATTTCAAACAGTGTAGAGCCGAAAGCAAAGATATCGGTTTTTATATCGGGATCAGACCCTGGCCGATAGCTACACCATTCGTAGCAGACTGTTGCAACTTCATCGTCGATACCAGAGCCACCAAAATCAATAAATTTTATATGGCCCGACTGGTCTAAAAGTAAATTGTGACAGCCAACATCCGCATGGATAATATTCTTGGTGTGTATGTAGTGCAAACCCTCTGCAGCCTCTTGGGCCCAGCGGAGCTTTGTCTGCATTGTCACCTGCGACTCCTTACTCTGAATCTTCTGGCGCAGACATTCGCCTCGTTCGATAACTATTCCATCCTCTGTAACCTCCCGAATTCTCGCGATTCGAGGATGATCGCCCAACCGTTCGTAAGCGCGGACTTCGATGTTGTATGCTTGACAAGCAAAATCGTCTGTAGGCCCAGGGCGGCGTTTTAGCACAGAGTAGCTATCGATTGCAAAAACTGCACTTGTTGTGCCCACAGCAATCAATGAATACTGAGGTTTTCTAGCGGATAGGTTGGATTCAACAGGACGTCCAACCATTTTGGTAGGGAGGAGAAAGGTAATATGGAAAGATATTGCTACAAAGAAGTCCAGAACTGGATAGGGATGGATTGTTCTCTTTAAAATGATTGGAGTCTCGTACAAAGGGATCGGCTTTTAGCTCTTACTCAGAATGGTTTAGCCTGATCTATTTTACCGCCCCACGCTGCTCATGTCATTGGAGAGTAATAAATTGAATAGAACCAGGCTAGCCACACCCATTGACCCACCCCCCTTTTTTTCCATCTCGCGGAACCCTGCAACATGAAGTCCGCCTTGGCGTTGGTGAAGCATACAGTCGACAAGGAAAGTCATTCCAAGTCGCCCTGTCCACAGTTAATCAAAATAGATCCAATCGAACAAGGAAACTTGTGAACGCACCGATTCCACAACAGTATCTACAGATATGCCCGAGTCTCTGCAACGAGGACAAGCGCCGCGTCTAGAGGTGTCACCGAATATACCAAGACTCGGATCGAAGTTGGCGTCGGTACAGAATGTGCCGGTGGCTTTAGCAGTGTCGCATCGTTTATAATAGCGCTTTTCAAATCTGTGGGCTTCATCCCGATGGCAACCTCGAAAGGTAAGTCCTGAAGCTGTATAGGAACACATGGCTGGAAGACAAAGATACACAGGGTAGAATGATAGAAGGAGTTTCGCTTGAACAAGAGAACTATTTTGTGTATCAGAATGCACTTGAACATAAGGGATACAACTGTCTTATACATTTTCCAATCGCCAAATGCTTGCCAATTTTGAGAAACCCAGCGACCGTGCAAGCCAACCCTACGACGACCATTTTCTCGTATCTATTCATAGGTACAGGGAAGCATCACATCTCTTGCATATACACTATACCTTTTTCACTCGTTTCCTGTCGGCGCGACAGGAAACGAGTGAAAAAGGTATAGTGTATATGCAAGAGGTACAGGGGTATTCTGGAAAGAGGGGTAACCACGACAAAAGGCTACTGCGCTGCTCTTCACCGACAATTTGCGACCTGCTAGAGACAGATTTACTGTATACCATCGTTATGGAGTCGTCGTTGAACAATTCCGCACTTATCGAGTTTGATAAAATTTTGAGCGACTTGGTTCAGTTTTTAGAAAGGAACAAGACAGTTTCTAATGAGCAGCTTCAAAGTCGTATCGACATCCTTCCTATTACGAAGAAGCTGTTTCTCGATCGCTGTTTTTCATTCAGGAGAAATCCAGAAAAGAACAAGGAGTCCACAGCGCCCAGCGGCAATGATGTTAAATCACTACCCCAGATTGTGATCTCGGCCACATTGAGAAGTACATTGAGGGATTGGAGTAGCGATTTTGATAAGTATTTCATCGAGAAAGCAAACGTCTCATCGGAGTACCACTGGGGTATAGCTGTTGGTAGATTGGGACAAAGGAGAGGTACAGTCGAGGTCAACATAATCAAAGGCCGCTTCGAAAAACTGAACATATTCCGAAGTGCTGTCCAATATGGTTATCATACAGGTAAAAGATGGTCTAGGAACGGGTCTGGCTTACTTGTGGAAGTGATTCAACATCAATATCCATCCATCGATGAAGAGCAAAGAATCGATACGGAAAGCCTTGAGAAGGCTGTCTTTGAAGGACGCACTTATGCTGATTGGAGTGAAATCCTTGGCGGTGATGGATTTCTTGCTGCTTTGCCGCAGACCGTACATGAGGCAACGTATGTTTATCTATCTTTGCGTTACTCCAACACTAACACTCCTTAGCTACTATGATAGGCGCAACCGTGGCGAAATCCAAGAAAAATGCAACCAGCTCCTTAAATGTGGGATCGAGCGCATTGTGGAGGATTACAATCTAAGAAGCCTAGGGGAGTTTGTGTCTGACGGACTTCAAAAGAAGCTCTATGTGGATTCATATGATACCATCCGTGGAGGTAAAAAGAGGGCTTTGCTTGAAACACTAAGTATAACCTACCCTGGCCTATTTTGTAAGCCATCCTGATCAATTCAACAGAATATAAGACGCACGGGTATAAAAGACAAAAAGCAAACATACCTCGTAGCTCTTCAGTGAACCATGCCTCTCCCACCGCTACAGCGGGCGCGAATGCAGAACGACTCGCAGGAAACACTTTAGTACATAAATCGCCACAGAGAGCAAACGACAGTGAGGATGTCATCGAGATTAACCAACGAGAAGGAGTCGACAATCCATCCACATCTACGCAGGTCTGGGATATCGCGGGTAGCGCTTTGGGCGCAGCTGTTGGTAAGATTCGATGTACACTGCGCTGGCGCTTCCCAAATAAACTCATTTCGATACAGGACCGCGAAACCATCAATTGCCGAATACACACAATTCACCGCGTTGCAATCCTCAAAACGAAGAATCATTAGCAGGTCAGGGAAGTGCCAATAGTAGCAATGATTCTGTTACACCACCCCCTGCCAATCGACTCCAAGGCAGGAGATCTTCGAATTCGCTTAGAAAATCTGCTGACCCCCTAGAGCCTCTCCATTACGAAAGCAGAAATCACTTCAACGCGGAGGATCCTGGAAATGGGGTCGCGTTTCGTACGTATTCTAGACAACCTCGATGGAGTACAGAGAGATATATTGATCTTGACACATCTAGAGGTTAGTTTCTCTCCATGGGTAAATGGCTGATACCTACTGATATGTTCTAGTTTCTGCCCCTCAGCCCAGAGTGCCTGATACCGAGAACCGGGGTGAGGCGAGAAGTACTTGGCCCACGGGGATGCCGCGAACTGCGCCAGATACCATATCGCTACAACAAAGTCCATTGATGGACACGGAAGGGTGGACAAGTGCGGAATATCATCTACCTAACTCGCGGAATGACATATCTTCAAGCACACCTTCTAATAAGAATGCAACATTCCACTTAGGTAGTGGTAAGCTTTCTGTGACTAAATCGCGTCTATTGTCACGTTACTAATGTTATTAAGATATTCACCAATGCCAGTCAACTGAATCCACAAATTTTCCTTCAATGAACCGTGGTCCAAACCATAATGCTTCTCTCCACTCGCCAGAATCTCGGTCAAACACAAACGCGGACAGTTATTTCTCTTCTACTCTCCCGACTCAAGGCTATAGATCTGACAGTTCAGCTCAGGCTATATACTCGTTAGGACCACAGCTGATTCCCAACGCGCTGGAAGGTCCCTCTATTCCAGCGATCGACCCTTCTGGGCCTCTACTGTTCCCAGACCAGCAGCCAAATATCCTCGCTCCGCCAGTTGATCCTTCCGGAGACTTATTGTTCCCAGACCAGCAGCCAAATGTCCTGGCTCCGCCAGTTGATCCCTCCGGAGATTTATTGTTCCCAGACCAGCAACCGAACATGTCTATCTCACTCATCCCACACAGCATTCGTCTTTCATCCCCGGAAATAGCTACAGCTGTTGGCAATATGGTACACCGAATTCAACAAACACTTGAAACGCAATCTCTTTAACAAACACGTTCTTCGTTAAATCCAGTACTTGATCTACACCAGCCACATATATCCGACATGCAAGCTTCGATTTGAGGTATCATGGCCGTTCACAATGCACAACCCAGAAAAGATATCCATAACGCTGAATTATCTCTTTTTCAATGACACAATGATAAGATCAAGATGATCCCCGTAAATAGTCCTTTCTTTTTCGATATGGTGGCATGCTAGTAAGGGCTCGTCTGGCGCGAAATTTGCAGATCCATTCAATGGGAAAACAAGTACATGTCCAGTTCTATTTTGTATCGACCCGTTATGGACAAGGTGAAGTACGTTAATCTTGAAAACCTAGGAAATAGTGTTAGAATGATACAGTGCGTGTCAAGAGTGATGCTCACTTGGAAGTCACTGTTATTCAACTCATTTTTCAGTTTATCAGTCAGGTTAAGAAGATCTGAACCGGTGTACTCCCAGCCAATACCATGCTTGTGTTGGCCGATATCTGCTCTTTTCTCATCGATGATGCGCTTGATAGACGCAACGATTCCTTGTGTCTCCTCTGTTAGCGTTTCATATGCCATTGTGCTGTAACAATGCTATAAGCTGAGGCAGTCACTCTGTGCTAGTCAAACCAAGAAAATAAATACGAACCAAAGTCAAGGGGAATTTTAGTGAGGGGCTCGGCGGGGTGATCCAGTGCACGTGACAAGCCCGGCTGAACAAATGCCCAGTTGTGGATCTACCCGCTGATTGGATGTTCCACGAGCATGTGACTTGCTCCTCATTGAGGAAAGCCATACTAATAGTCAGGGTTGGGGAAGTATACCTAGACAATGCTTATGTTCTACTATATGCCCGCAAAGAAACGAGTTTAGTACTCTGCTATACCGCTACGTCATCTTCAGGATCCCGATTCACACAAAGGTTCTCGGTAATAGGTTAACATGAGCCACATCTGCATTTTATCACTACATAATAGTAGACTTCTCAATGTCGGATCAGCATAACCTGGAGACCAACCATTACCACTCTTGGGAGCATTGAGTAGTGCATTTTTGATCCTTGGTTTATTAGGCCGATACTAAGTTGTGTGCTCCACCCAACTATGGCGTTTTTTATTGTTAGTTATAGGCCTTATTCTAGCAAGCTGTCAGCTCATCGTCCAGGTGTCCATTTGCATCACTAGTGCGGCGTATAGTGTCTATACAACATCGCTGTCAAGTCGCTCAAGAACTTGCTGGCGGTAAAACTAGTTCGCTGGTTGGGCGGAGCAGTAAGGAGGATGAGTATGCCTGCTTTAATTGATGCCTATTGTCTCAGCTGTACTCAGAGGTAATCACGACCAGCGACTGGGTTGATTGGCCTTCGTGACATTACAAATTTTACCAGCCTTTGATCAAGTTGGCTTCTGCAATCGTACCGTTATATTCTGGGCTGTCATGACAAGCGCAACAAAGGTCCCGGACCAGGGTGCATGGTTCCCCTCGTGAGCCAATCTCCCGACCTCTTGGGAAGATATAGCGATGGTGTCTGCTCCCTATAAATCACGTAGCAAGCTGTGCAGGATTTTGGTGCCGGGTGCTTATATAGACCACGCACCTTGATGCCAAGCGGCAGGGAAGCGCTTTCCCCGATTAGGCACGCTATACCGGATGCAGTAATTCGCCGTCACCGCAGAATACGGAGTAGTCTAAATCGGGAAGCCTGATAAAGGCAAGGTCTGCCCTTATGACAAAGAAACAAGGGCGGATAGTGTAGCATTTGGTAAGACTCTGGTAAATAAAATTGGAGAAAGCGCTGGTAAAGGACATATCAGCAATAAAGTGGAATGGTGGTGTCCTTCGGGTGAGCTTCAGGACAAAGAGTAAAGACAAAGCGGCGAGGGTACTAACCCAACAAACCAAGAAAAGAGTGGTGAACACGGATACGGACATACAACAGTTAAGCTTCAGTTAAGATAAGTGAGGTCTTTCAGCCTCGCCTACTGCCCTTGATAGGGTTCATGATTTAGCTTCGATTGGCTCGTTGTAGGCTAATTCTATTCGTGTTTAAAGAAAGAGTAGGCACCTTACATTATCTTTTTCACCCTTCAATATTTTATTATACTGTGGCTGAAGTTCTAGTCTAGAATCACAACTCCTAGTCAAACTTTGCATATCCTTCAGTTTGTATATCCCAGATTAATAGTCGTAACATCTGTTGTAGCTCCGAGAAGGCTTGTCCACTCCAACTAATATTGGAAACATCTTCCCGAGTTTGATGCTGATCCGTAATCCCCCATTCTATACCACTTGAAGCCACGCTTGACATTTGCTTATCACTCATTCTATCTTTGCATCCATCTAGCATGATGCAGAAGTTCAAATAGTGCTGTTCCGTTATGGGTTCATTACTGAAAACAAAGTTAAACTTGGCCTGTAGAGCCAGTACCCGGAGACTG